TTCTTTAGGAAAATACATCATACCAGTCTAAGTATCTTTTAAGAGGGATCTAAGAAATCTCCAAAAAAATGGTCTTTTCAAAAAGATGAAATAGGTAAATATTATTGGTGAGTATAATTATACACTCACAGCCTGCAAGAAGGTCAGAGTCTTTACAAGATTAGTATTGACGTTCTTGCTCCTTCTCCTCCACTGCTGAACACCCTCAGTATTGCAGCTTTTAACCCATCTTTCCACTCCATTGGTTACCAGCAATCTGGCTGAAAAGCATGGGTGGAGAAGGAAAGGGCAAGTGTGAGTAAAAAGGCTCGTGGAGCTTTGTTCACATCTATGTTGTTTTTCAGCAATTACAGCCTTAGCTGATGCAGTTAGTATGCATGTGGTTGTTGGCTTAAGAAAAAAAAAGAAAAAGCAACACACCACAGATTTCTAATGAGAGCTAAAATCTTTCTACTTGTCTGTAGTATAAACAAGCCTTCTCAGAATTCTAACACTTACAGCACTTCTGTTCAGAAAATCATTATGAGGAAGACTCAATAAAATACACTTGAGTGATAAGGTGTTATTCTGTTCTTTCACAGTTGCACAGCAAATATTTCCAGGGTTAAGACTGTAGTCTGTAGTCTGGGCTGAATTCTTGGCAATATGACTGAAGACCTGTGTGGCCTGCAGGAAATTTGGGTTCAGTCCTGATGTCTGGGTACCTCTACGAAGGGTTGTCAAGCACTATCAAGAATATTTGTGTTGTGTCTAGACCTGTCTTTGGTGCTGATGTTGGTGCACCCAGTTGTTAAGCAGGCTTTCTGGTAGGTTGTAGCAGTGTTGATCTACAACCGTAAGAGAAGTTTGCAGGGAGAAATGTTGTCATTTGTTAGACTGACTCATGTAATTGGAAAAATCATGTAAACCTACAGATGAAGTACCCTTTATTCAATGCTGAGATGAACGTGGAACATTTCGAACTAGAGACTGGAAAAAGTCATTTTAGATTTAACAATGTTAGTTGGATGAGTGGAAGGCAGTTACAGCCACTAAAAGAAAATTTGTAATTATGGAAGGAAGAGGTTACCAGCTCCTAGAGGGAGGAGAGGAAGAGAAAGTAACCATCTGGCAGAGGATCATACCTTTCCTTCTGCTAACTCACATGCTGGTTAATTCTGGGGTGACATTTACTTTTACATTTCTTAATTTTTTCCATCCATAAAATAAAAATAGTAAGAATGTGGTAAAGTACTGCAAATTAAAAAAGATACAGAAGAGCATTTTTTTTTTTTCTTCAGAAATTTATTCATTATTGAAATTACAGATTCCGTTATGCAAATCTAGAAATGATGGGTAATGTCCTCCTCTAACATGGAGAACTCAATCATTTTTGTTGTGAAAAAACATGCCCTAGTGTTGAGTTGCAAATGAGTTTTTATACTGTTTTGTTAAATTTGAAGAAAATAGGGTTTACATGCTCATGTTGCTGAATGAACTTGTATGAACCTGTGTGGCTCAGCACTATTTTAAGAGTTTTTGGTTAACTTGGAGGTGTAATGATTTAAAAAATATACATCTTCAATAATAAATAAAACAGACCAAAACTCTTCTGTTCCTCTTCGGTTTACTTATATGTTTGTAACCAAAGACACTGAATTCCTACAAGTTTTATGGAAGTAGATTAGTTTAGTAGATGAAAAGATGCCATCAATTCTCTCGTGGAAGGAAAGAAGGGATAAAATTTGAACTCAGCGTCTATTACCCATCAGAGTACGTGCACTGGAAACACACATGGGGCAATTACGCAAGCTATTGGGGACCTCATTCCTCAGTGACGGTTTCTCCCTGCTAGAGAGACTCTGCTGCTTAATGAAGGGTAAACTTCATTCAGAGCATTTCCTTGGTATATTTCAGATAAAAGTCAGCCATCCAGAGCAATCAGATTCACTGGAAATCAGTCCCTGGGTTGTTCACAGAACTGATGTTACTTCTGCATATGTCCAGATGATTTTCAGAATAGCTGGTGCTCAGTGGGAGGTGCTCCCCGTCATTAAGGGGTTTGCAGAGGGTGGTGTGGAGGTGCTGGAAGTCAAAGGCAAGGCTTGTGTGGGCGTCTCATCACTCACCTTTCCCCTGTTTATGCTATGTTTTTTTCAGACAGGGCTGTGCTGGGTGCCTGCCAGCTCTGCTTAGCCATGAAAAGCCCTGGCATCAGCGCACAGCATTATGCATCCCAAACGACTCAGCCCTCCTACTCTCACTGATAATTCCCAATCACTGCTCTGGGTATGAGTTCTGCAGGACCGATCCCAACCTTTGCTCCCATTGCTTCAGACCGCATCTCCACAGCTCAGAGAGAGCATTTCGCCTCGCATTCACTATCGTGCATATAATGCAGATGATTGCTGACTCCTTACGATGCGAACAAGATTATTCCAGGGTAATTAGATCTGGAGAGAGCAAAACCAGTTTTCTACAGCAACCTGGCAATTTCTCAGTGTTCCCACATGGATTTTGGATTGTACACTATTATGCTGTTATTTACCTGGCCAAAAACCGGGAGGGCAGTATAATTACATTGATTCAAGACTACATTATAGGAAACGGGGATAACTCCAGTGTGACAAATCATCTCCAGAGCCAGACAAGCACATAAGAGCTATTGCAGCCTGTAACAATTTCAATAAGAAAAAAATTCACTATTTCATTCTAGGTAGCTTGGTAATGTATAGTTGCTGCTCAGGACAAACTCTAAACTGTGCTTACATAGATGAGATCCTATTAAAAGCCATGATGGTCATGAAGATATGCTGAGATGTCTAACATAAAATGCTGTTTAATAAAGATAAGTATACAAAACATGCCTATTCTGAAAGAAAAGTTGCTTTATCTGTGAGAATTAAGACCAGAGATTTATCATCCATGTACTACTTGGAGGAGAGTTTATGTTACTTGCACTTCATCTTTCTGCTTGGAGAAACAGCCAGAGCAAATTCTGTTAATCCTGACACTTGAGATAACTCTCTGGATTGTAACAGAGTGGCTGAAGGGGAAAAAGATGGATTTACATTATCATACCAAATCCTCATGTCATGTGATGACTCCCTGCTTCTTCGAGTGATGGGGGATAGAAGCACTTTTCCTGAGAGGTGAAACATTTGTCATACGCAGGTTTGATCACAAAAATCTGTAAAAGCCATATAAACCTTGAAAGGATGGGAGGCATTTATTTTTCATATATGAAGAGCCACAGCAGCCATGTAACCCGGCTGAAGTGGTGCTACCTGACCTTACACTCAGGAACACTTTAAAGTAAAATGTTATGTGCTACTGGAGACAAGTAAATTCTAGGAGATTCAGTGGCTCTCTTACAGTTAAACCTTACAGTTTTAGGCAGGATTTCAAAATAATGGTTATCGGAAGTGAGTGTGTTAGTTGACATGGGAGCTGCTGGGTGTCTGAGCAATTCAGAAATGTGAGCTGAGGTAGGAGCCTAATGTGGGTATAAATATCTAACTGCAAGTGTATCAGGTAAAATGTGAACCATGCTTAGCTGCATCAAGGAGGAAGAAGAGGGGGGGAAGAAAAAATACCACCTTCACTTTTGATTTTTGGCTTTAGACTATTTCATGTAAGATTATTCAGTCCTCCGAGGGAGCCTCAGAGACTATATCTAGCCCATTACATTTTATGCCTTTTTTTTTTCTTTTTTTTTTTTTTTCTCTTCTCCTGTCTAACAAGACTTGCAATGCTATGTCATCCAGGGATTTCTCTCTATTATGATGTGACAGATTAGACTATATATTGTGAAGCATAGGCTAAAATTTCTTCCACATTGACAGTCACCATGACACGTTTTGAACCTGAGCTGTAATTAAATTTTAACTTGGTTTCATTGTTAAACAGTTGTGGAAGCTGCTAAATAAGACCGATTGGGAGAGTGTAAATACCTGAGCTAAGCAACAGAGTTACAAAGTTAACCATATAAAATATTGCAGAAAACATAATCTGTTAGGGCAATAAGAACACATAGAAATTGCTGCATTTCCACCAATCCTAAATGTTAAAGAATAACTGAAAGTTAAAAAATGTATATTGGAAGATTAGGTAGTGTTAGAGATAATGCATATACAAAGCATTGAAAGAAGGCAATAGTTTGATTCTCTTCTAAGGGGCATGCATCTTCGGGTGCTGCCTGTACCACAGCACTTACTGCAGATGGGTTTAGGCAGACTAATATGTGGGTGGTGGCCCTGGTGCAGTGTGCTGAATCTCTTGTTACTCTTGGTGTAGCAGGCATCAGATTTACTTAGTGTGGGTAGCCTGTTGGGTGAATTCAGGAACACATTTAAGAGGAAAACATATGGGCATGGGTCATTAGGGTAAATATGACTTTGACTCTAGAGAGAATCTTGCAGTTCTGTTAGAGAAAGAAAGAGAGAAAAAGAGAAGGAGAGGAGAGAAGGAGAGAAGGAGAGAAGGAGAACTGCTTTATTTTAAGGTTAATTCTTTCTTTTTCTTGGAAATTATTGGTAGGTATACAGTTTGAACCATTGCTTTGTTATTGGAGATAGCTGTCCTGGACCATGCTGAATTACTGAATAAGATTCACTTGCTGCTTTTAAGGCACCTTTTCCCTAAAGGAACTTTCTTAAGATAAGTCCTGTAATACTTGCTCCCATTTTCTCTCACTTCTGCTGATGGAATTCTCTGTCTTCATTTGTTCTTTCTAAAAGGATTCATTTAATCCTGATAATCTCCTTTTAATTTTTAAGCTGCATTGCATTTTTATTTTCTGGACATGGCAAAGCTATCATCACCTGCAATTAATTTATTCCTCCAGGTGGCTTTGCATATTATCTGCCAAAGATCATGTCAAAAGGCTCCAGAAACTTTTACAATTAACAGTTGTAGCTGTTTAGCAAGTGGCTATCATTAGTAGCCTCTGTGTTCAGCTTACTTAATTGGTTACAACCAATTACCAGTAGGTTGTTCTCTTCTGTGCAATTTGTCATGGAGTCAAACAGCTTTTCCCTCACCCATTTAAAAGTCTAATGTGGATTGTTGTGCTTGATTGATTAATAGCTGCCTGGTATTAAGGTATTAATCTGCAGCAGGCACTTGGTCCTGGATTCATGAGCAGGGTTTCTGCAAGGCTGGGTATCCCAGGGTTGGTGTGACTCACTTCACATGCAGATCAGAGGGTGAGGCTCAATGTGATGTACAGAGGCACCGATGGTAGAGGCATCTTTTCTCCTTGAACCACATAGATTTATGATAAAGCTGAGACCTTTGTTGTCCTCTGCTTTTGCCATAAAAATGACTTTAAAACTGCTCATTAAAATGTGCTATGACAGGAGCCCCACTTTTTTCCTGGGCAGATTGGAAAGATCAGACTCAACAGATCTGGGCAGGGGATGTAAAGAGACCAGACTGATGCCTACATGCTGTGCTCCTCCATGCTTCAGACAGCCCGTCAGACAGAGGAGCAAAAGGGGACGTCATTTTCCTCTCTAATATCTTCTGAGCCTCATCAGAAATTTCTCTGCTGGCTTGAGAAGGCTGTTATGACCACATAAGCCGCTTCCCAACAATGACTATTGGACCTCCCAGATTTATTTCTTGTAGGAAGCCTGAAATTGAAGTTGAAATTGCTTTAAGAGGATGATATGCTTGCCTGAAGATGCCTAGTTCCTATCTGCCCATTTGGATTACTGAACAAGCCTTCGACCATCCTGTGAAACACTGATTTCTTCACAAAGCTGAATTTTTACTGGTTTGAGTTTAACCAAGTATTTAGCGTGTAAACCTAGAAAACCATTTCCTTGTGACAGAAAATTGCTGTGCAGCTATTTGGTGGGACTCTGTGATCTGGAAGTCTTTTTTTTCCAGGGAATGCTGCACAGTAATGAATACCAAATAGAATTTATTGAGTGCAGGTAAATTTTTAATGGGTAGCATTTGTATGCTGAACATATGTTGAAATGAATGCATAATTAAAAAAAATTTGTTTATGAAAGTTCACCTGAGATTTCAACAGTAGCAATTTAAACTGAACATTGCTGTTCTTGATGTGTGCCAATTTGTCAAGTTTTCTGAACACAGAGTAAGAACAGCAAGGGAAGCTTGCTATTCCTGCAGAATACTAGTTGTATTAACCTGTACTAGAACCAATCAATCTTTAAAGCAAAATGAAGATAATTATTCTTTCTCTGGATACTGAAATAAAATTTTTAGCAAATTCTACTTGGTTTAAAAAAAAAAAAAAAAGGAAGCTGCCATTGTTTTCTGCCCATTTTTCTGTCATTCACACTAATGCTATGAGAAGACTGGAATCGAATAATGGCAATAGTCTTTTTATGTGTCATGCTCATAGAAATACTAGATGACACTGAAGTATGTGCATTTCCTAGTGAAAGAGGCTCAGTACTTGACTAAAAAGACAGAGAGACATTGCTACTTTACATGAGATGGCTTCCCAAATCCCAGATTGTTAACATATATGTGGCTTCATAAATCATGTCTTTGTGTTTCCCAGCACCTTATTTACACGGTATCTGCCTTGCCTCAACTATTCATTACAAAAGTAATTTTTTCATCATACCCTGGATGCAGTGCATGCACAAACTATCCATGAAGCAAGTGGTGATATTTTAAACTAATTATTGAGCCAAGCAACCAAGTAAAACATGGACATATCTTTCTGGAGACTGAAATCATGGTATGGATTGTGGTTAAATTCTCCTTTTTCACCCATTTAGTTTTAAAACAAAAATAGTTCACTGAAAGCATTCATTAAGTCTATTTTAGTCTCACTTTGGAGCAGTTTTGAGTGCTGAATCTGAACTGAGATCAGCACTTTCCATGCTCTGGAAGTGCAGTAACAGCAGCAATTACTCCATGCCGTATATGATTTAAGCTTCTGGGTTTCTGGAATTATTCTTTAGCAGGATAGCTGCCTCTACATGTAATGATGCTTGCCTATATTTTCCCAAGTGGTATTTTTCAGACACATTTACTGATAACTCTAAATCTGTCCTATATGAATTAATTAAGATGGTGTTTGTGTTTCTGTCTCCCTCAGGGAATAATATAAATGATTTGTATTATGCTTAAAGCATTATCATTGAGTTGTCTTGAAAATCTCAGTTTGAGAATGTGAATATAGTAAATTCTAGTCAAGAAATGGAATAATTTTAAATCCTTTTACTACTAAATATATGCTGCATTTTTAAAAGAACTGCTTGAAAATCTCTCAATGTAACAGGAAAGAGTAAAACATTAGAGAGAAAAGTGTATCATATTCCCTATAGACATGTGTGTCTTTAAATTTTAGGCTACATAGGTAAGCACACCAAAAATCACGGAATCTGAAAACTGTTGTTGGGTATATGGATTAACTTTTCACTTTGTACTATGGTGCAAAGCCAGATTCTTCCATGGGGTCCTGGTTACGTGCAAAAATGTGTGCTAATGGCATGTAAAGGCTCCATCTGAAATAGAAAGCATGAAGTGGCACAGAAGCTGAAAATTCCTGTAATGTTAGCCAGATGAAGTTATGAGATCCTTCATACTTTAGTTTTTTCATTTTCTGTCCAGAGTTCTCAGGCTTCTGAGATCTTCATTTCTGTGCATCTTTCAGCCCTTAGCACTCAGTTAAAACAAAATGGATAATGATTTATTGAAAGAGGATGAAGCACTGCCATTCTTAGTCCAGCATTATACAAAGTGTTGTTTTCTTACTAGATTCAGTATAGTGATTTTAAAAGCCCAGTAGCCTTGATATTGGGACTGAATCAACCGTTTATGGATTTGCAAATATGCTGTCAATCATTATCAAGTGATCAGTAACATAAGCCTCTTCAATTGCACTCTTTTTCATCCCAGCATGCTCAAATGCTTCATCTGTGGCTGGGTATACTGTTGATTCTAAAGAGAAAAAAAAATGAGACAGCGAGTGACTAGAATCTGTTTCCCAGGTAAACTGGGATTACTCAGGTTGCCATTCAGCTATCCTGAGGGTGCAGGCATTAGAAGGTCCTGCTGGTGTACTGCATCTGTCAGCCTCTTCTGACGTTCTAGGATTGGTAAGGTTTGAAAATCAAAAGGCACTTTTAAACATCTGGGTTACGGTGGCCTGCCTAGATGCATCAGCAATTTACCGGCAAAACCTAGTTTTCTTGTCTCAGGCTCTGACTATTTAGCTGTGTTCCAAAAAAAGGGCATGTAATTATCTGTTTGTTTGTAAGACCTAGGTTGTCCCCCCCTCTTCCCTTCCCCCCTGCCCCATATATATATTGATGCAGAAATGCACTCATATTTCTCCTTTTGATTTTGTTTCTAAAATAAATCAGTTGCTTTTAAAAATCTGAATACCTGTATGACAGGCAACATCTTAGTCTGACCCAAATTCGCTGTTGTTTTGGAGCTGCTTTTCTGGAACAAGACGAACAAATGTCAATTCTCATTTTCTGTTTTTATGGGAATAGACCAGAGTGAACATATTTCTACCAATAAGATACGGAGGGCGATGTGAAATGTTACATGCAAATTAGGTTGAGATGATGTTTCTATCGGGGGAAATAAAAGCTCTTCCCTGAAATTCCCTCATCATTCCTTTCATTTTCTGCATATAAGCTGTATGTAAAGCTGTCAGGCTGATAATTAGGCAAATTATAGGGACCTTCTCATAAGAAAACTAACGCAATTTCCATAGAGAATTTCAAATGAAGATGCCCACAAGGAAGGCAGAAGTCTGAGCTCATTTTCTTTTATTGAGACTGATTCATAAATACCCAGTTTTCCCTTGTCTCCCCTTGACTGCAGCAAGAGGATTTAGAGAAGGACTTTGTTGCAATCAATAGGTCTCTGAAAAATACTTGGCTTCCAGATAGTAGCATATTTTAATGCAATTTCATTTCTTTGAAAATATTGTTGCTAGCTCTGGCAAAATTGTGCAAGCTGTCTGCATATTGCATGATTTTCATGCGAAGTCATGAACTGGTGAAAGCTTATGCCAAAATCAGCATGGATTTGTGAAGCTTTTCAGAAATCTTTCCCAAGAGGGAATTTGTGGGGGAAGCCAATTATAAACTGGGTTTCATAATTTGTCACAGAATCTCCATGCAGAGTTCTACAGAGAAATAAAAGAATTCATCGCTTTTCAGGACATGGCAAGGCACTACAAAAGTGTGTGATCACCAGCCTTTGTTGTTTTGAAAGAAACAAATAGCATTCATTAAACAGTGAAGAGTGTGCTCAGGAAAGGTAAATATAATAATCTAAATAGATTGCAGGCACGTCTCAAAGTGATCAGGGGAAAAGTTTTGTGAAGGCGTAGTCAACAAGGAATAAACAGATGGCAATATGTACGCGCTCAGCTAATTCTTGTGGTGAGAATTATGTAGCTGTAACACATAAACATTTGACATTTTGCCTGTGTACACGCGTGTGTACGTGCATGTGAGCTCCTACGGGGAGGATCAGGCAGCCCTGCTCCAGCCTGGGCCCAGGGCCCGCCAGGGAACGCCTGGGATCTGGTGGCCGGCCTGGCCTGGCCTGGCTGGGCCCAGGTGGGCTGGGATGCACATTGCAGCCCCGGCTACTCTTAGCAGCTATTAAATCGTGTCTGCCAAAGTTTGTATCTCACATGGATGACACGTTTTGAGCCAGCTAAGGGCTTCGCAGTGTGACTGTGAGGCACTTTAGGAAGTCTGAGGGTACATGCTGATGTCTGTGTACACACAGGCTAAGGTTACTCTTATCATAAATGAGGGGACAGGCGTTTGGGGTATAGGTCTCCCCTGATGCTGGGTGGCTGCTCAGAGTCACTGGCATACCCTAGAGGAATAATCACAGAATCACAGAATTTCTAGGTTGGAAGAGACCTCAAGATCATCGAGTCCAACCTCTAACCTAACACTAACAGTCCCCACTAAACCATATCCCTAAGCTCTACATCTAAATGTCTTTTGAAGACTTCCAGGGATGGTGACTCCACCACCTCCCTGGGCAGCCCGTTCCAGTGCCTCACAACCCTTTCAGTAAAGAAATTCTTCCTAACATCTAACCTAAAACTCCCCTGGTGCAAGGGGAGTTTTAAAAAACAACTTTTTTTTTTTTTTTTTTTTTTTGTTAAAAAACAGCTGAGGCTGAAGTCCTGAGGAGGAACATCCATCCCTCAGTTATGCTGTGTTCATGGAAATCGAATTGATTGAGCAACCTGTCTACTGGAGGTTGGAGCAAGATGATCTTTAAGGTCCCTTCCAACCCCAACCATTCTGTGATTCTATGACAGATGATTAATTGAGGAATACATAAATTTCATTCACCTCATCTGCTTCTCTTGCCCATCTGATCCCCAGATTCTAATTTTACTTCTGCAAGTACTTCTGCTGATTCTTTTCAGCCTGTTTATCTCTGACTGTATGTCTGATAACTGCGTTTAGTCCACCACCTCCTCTCCTGGAGTGGAACCTGAAAATGAAAAGATTATGTTTCCAAACACTGGTTCCTCCAAGCAGGCTGGAAACATCTCTGGTGCTGAGTGGCAGATTGCCGTTTGTGTTTAGAATGTTGCAACTAAATCTTTTAAGGGTGATTATGGAAAATGAGAAATCATTTCCTAATAACACTGCTTGGAGCCATTGCTGGAGGTACAGTATATTCTCCTATGTGTATTCATGGTATCAAGCATGCCATGAATCTTGCTGTTTTTAAAGTTTAGTTAAGCTTCAAACAAAGTATCTACTGACATGATGGATTCTCCATTTCTGTGTTGCTTGAAGGGTTAATCTCAGACCTGTCTGCAAAGTGTGTGGTGGTCCACATGAAAGCTTTGGACTAGTGGCAGGGATCAGTGCAAGAAACAGTGTAATCCAGAGGGTAGAAAGATATATATATATATTTTTCTTCTTTAACCTGATGTAAATCCATGCATTTCACAGGTGATTTCTATTTATATTATCATTTGCATTTTGAAGATTGGTTCAATTACCTCCACTATTAATGACCATGTTTCAGCTTCTGACAACTGAGCCAACAGATATAGGACGTATAAAGTAATGCAGTCATAATTTTATGTAGCATTTTCATTATTAAGGTATTCGGTTTGGTGGTTCTTGTATATAATAAAGTAGAATTTAG